GCCCAGCAGCGCTATGGCGGCCACACCCTCTGCCCGCACCCTGCAGCATCAACTGCATGATGGGGCGTGAGGGCAGAGTCTTGTCTACGTTGCCTAGCTGCCATGTCCTTGGCTGCGCTGCTCCATGTGGGCCATGCTCAGGGCGACTCCCCTTCAGGGGGGCTGCTGGAGAGAAGTGGGTCATGGGGGGAGGCAAGTCTGGGTCAATGGCACGTGTGCCCACAGAGTGGGCTCCGAGTGCCGCCTCTGGCACCCGTGCCATAGGTTCGCCACCACTGCTATAGCCAAAGGTGCACAGAGTGCTGTTACTTCCCACTGAAGTGGTACCTATTTATCTACTGGCATTAGCATGCTTTCAAATGACTAGGTTGACAGGAGCTGGAGCAAGAAACGGGAGCTCACCCCGTTGCTCAGAGCTCGGGCTGCGAACCTGGGCTCTCAGTTCTCCAGCTGAAAAGCTCAGCATCTTTAACCGCTGAGCCATCCCATCCCCTTCCCTTATAATCTGAGCATGGGCATGACTTGCTGGGCTGACGGTTCCCTCCCATGCCATCCTTAGGCCAGCTGAGATAATTTCCTAGGTCAGCAAAGATACGTTTCAAGAAGAACTAACTCTGAGAGGTTTGGTTTTAAAAGCTGATCTGGGGGGTTGGGGATTTTAAAAAGTGAAAAGGAAATTAGGTATGCTGCAACGTTATTGTGAAGTCCACATTATGACCTACATAAATAAGTGTGGTATGTCTAGAAAGCCTTTGCGGTATATGGTACAGAAATATATGAGGATATAAATTTAAAAAGCATGTATAATTTTTTTTTAAAAAAAAACACATGGGTAGAGAAAAGCCATCCGACTAAGGCGTTGTCTTTCTAATGCAAACAATAACTTACTTCACATGTTAGCAGTCTGCAGATCTCTGGAGAAATCGAAATTTCTTGGGTCACAGACCCAAAATGACAGTGGAAGGTGTTTGGGGGTTTATTGTTGCGATAATTGTGTTTTCCTTGCAAAAAGCTTAATGTCTTCTGAGGTTAGTGCCTTGCTTTTTTTATTAGCCAATGAATTGAGGAGATTGTGCATTCCAGCTTAGGCTGCACTTCATTAATTCTGCTTCAACATCTGGCATGCTTATATTTTATGCATAGTTTTACCAACTGTTTTGCTGAGCACATTGGCAGCCTGGAAAGTGAACCGAGTGAAGGTTGGGGCACCTGTGAAAAGATATTCCTGTCGATTAGCTGAAAAAAAGGAGAAAAAGCAGCCTCTCTGCCTCTTGATCTAATCTTTCCCCAAACAAGGAATGTGGGGTTTCCTTCTAAAAGTGGTCTGTGGCTAATACTAGTGGTGGGCCCATTAATAGATAACAGAGTAACAGCGTTGGAAGGACCTTGGAGGTCATCTAGTCCAACCCCCTGCTCAGGCAGGAAACCCTATACCATTTCAGACAAATGGCTGTCCAGTCTCTTCTTTAAAAACTTCCAGTGTTGGAGCATTCACCGCTTCTGGAGGCAGGTGGTTCCACTGATTAAAGGCAGGTTGTTCACCTGCCCCGTTTTTTTAATCTTGAGTTCAAGTTTTGTTTGTGTTATATGTGTGTGCGTGTATACATACATGCACATTTGTATATGTGTATGTGTATATAATATAATAATAATAAAGTTGGAAGGGATCTTGGAAAACTCAATTTATTCCCTCAATAACCTTATATAATTTTCAGGCTTTCAGTTAACCTCCAAAAATCATCCAACGCTTCACTATTATACCCACATTCCTGAAAAAGCCACACCAATGCTATTAATAATAATGATAATCGAGTCCAACCCCCTGCTCAGGCAGGAAACCCTGTACCATTTTGGACAAATGGCTGTCCAGTCTCTTCTTAAAAACTTCCAGTGTTGGAAAATTCACAACTTCTGGAGGCAGGTTGTTCCATTAATTAATTGTTCTAACTATCAGGAAGTTTCTCCTTAGTTCCAGGTTGCTTCTCTCCTTGATTAGTTTTCATTCTTTGCTTCTTGTCCTGCCTTCTGGTGCTTTGGAAAACAGGTTGACCCCCTCCTCTTTGTGGCAGCCCCTCAAATACTGGAACACTGATATTGGCGATGTTCACGAAATGCACAAGACATCATTCATGCTAAGCTATAAACCCTACATAACAAATCACGATGGCTAGGTTTACACAATGTGAACAGGCATATGCTTGGGTTCTCTAGTGGGCAAGCTCAGTTTGTCATGACTTGTCTATAAAATGAGGTGGGAGTAAGACTCTGAGTTGAGTGGGGAAGAGGGAGAGGGATGGTTTCAGAAAAGCAGGGCAAGGGTGATGGCACAAGGTAACTAATGGTTGAGTGTGTTTTGTGTGAACCCGACAGATGATGAAGGCGTCTTTGCGTCAAGTTCAAGTTGTACTGACCCACTGCCACTTGCACAACATCTGTCCAACAACTTTAACACTGATTCCCAATGGAAAGTCAAATGGGTCACTGAATGTCCAGACATAGGAAGACATATAAATGACCCCACAAAATGGTGCCAGGGTTTGAACTACCACATCAACAATGGACAATCCTGAATAGGATTCACACCTCACATGGTGTCTGCCGGGATTCTCTGTATAAATGAATCAAAATCAGAATAACAGAGTTGGAAGGGTAGATCATCTAGTCCAAGCAGGAGACCCTACACACCATTTTTGACAGATGGCAGTCCAGTCTCTGGAGAATAGCATCCTCCCCTCAGTGGGACTGCGGGGTCCCACATCAAACTGACCGGCTGAGGGCACATACTAGTTCCATGTCTGATTTTTTTTTTAATATAAACAATGCTGCACCTCAATGGTTAGATGGCCTAGACAAGAGGTAGGCAACCTTGGTTCTTTTATGACTTGTGGACTTCAACTCCCAGAATTCCTGAGCCAGCATGGCTCAGCATGGAAACCTCTCCCTTTCCCCTCAGCATGGCTGGCTCAGGAATTCTGGGAGTTGAAGTCCACGAGTCATGAAGGGGCCATAGTTCCCCCATGTTGGCTTGGAAATTCTGGGAATTGAAGTCCACAAGCCTTAAAGTTGCCAAGGTTGAGGACCCCTGATATAGGGCAGGGGCGGGGAACCTTGGCTGTTTTATGACTCGTGGACTTCAACTCCCAGAATTCCTGAGCCAGCCATGCTGAGGGGAAAGGGAGAGGTTTCCAAGCTGAGCCATGCTGGCTCAGGAATTCTAGAAGTTGAAGGCCACGAGTCATAAAAGAGCCAAGATTGCCTACCCCTGCCATAGGCATACATCTTCAAGTTGCCGAGTTTGAAAGAAACACTTATTTAAACAAGTGCTGTTAAAGAAATCATAGTTCATAGTTCACCCCACCAGTCAGCCCAATCACAGCAGGTAAATAAAAGGTGCTTTCCAAGAGTCGATTGGTGGGCTGTGAAAACTATACCTAATTTACAAATATTTGTATGAGGTTCGAGACCTCGAATAAGTCATCTACTCCATGATGTAACTCTTGATGTCAAGGACAGGCACTTTTCTGATGCAACATCCCAAATTCAGAAACACCCACTGGAAGAAAATTCAAGTTGGATAACAATATTTTTTTGTTGAAATTCAAAACGAATGTATTTGCACTGCTGTCCTCATTACCACTTTCTGTGGGTTGGTTGTTTTTTTTTTTTTTTTGCACTATTGATTACACCATGTTTATTGTCGTGCCTTCTTCTACAATCTGTGAGGATGATGGATGGTTGTAGAAAATTGTTTCTGAAGAAACAAACAGAGCGTAAATCTGAAATATTCATAACAAGGAGCAGCCCAGGGTTAAATTAGCTGTAGGACTTTGGAAGCTCTGAAAACAAATTGGCTGGTTCTATTTCCCTAAAGTTACTTAGAAAAGTGAATGCAGAGAAGACTTAATTAGGCTCACTTTCAGGTTTAATTTCTTCCCCACATTCTTTAGACACTTTAATAAAATAGTTATTGAACCGTTGGGTAAGACTGTAGCATTTTTCAAAAAGATGGACGTTCCTGTCAATATTTCATTCATATGAGTACAAGTCTAACCATTGAAGTTAGAAACTTGATTATCTTCGCCAGCTTTGCTGAATCAGAAATCCTCCAAAGACATTGGATTTCTCTAACGCTTCAACTGTTTAAATCGAACAAAAATTGCCTAAATTTTAATATGGAGAGAATAAAGGACTTTATTTAAAGCAGTACTTTCATCCTGCTATTCTGCCCACAAGACCTGATGTGGGCCTCACTTGATCAGCAAACCTGAACTAAACTGAACTACAGGTAGTTCTCAACTTACAACCGCAACAAAGCCCAAAATTTCAGTTGCTAAGCAAGACATTTATTAAGTGGGGTTTCTTGTCACAGTTGTTAAGTTAGTCATCCGGATGTTAAGTGAACCTGGCTTCCTGTTAAGGTAATGATTTAAAAGCTAAGCAGCTGATGTAATGTTGGGAATGATTCAGCAGGGTCTGTGTCTCTTTAAGAGCCTTTGTATAAAAGGGAAGGCTCTCTCTTCTGTTTCCTGCTGTAACTGCTGTGTGTTGGAGCCTGCTATATTGACACGTGTGTGTATATTGTTCCTGATGTATGATATTGCATATAGTGTAAGATAAACCACCATTTAATATAGACCACTGCTTACGGTGTTTCCTGCTAGGTTATCTCAGTGCAATAAGACTGTGCATGCTCTGACACTTCCCCATGGACTTTGCTTGTCAGAAAGTTGCCAAAGTGATCACGTGACTCTGGGAAATCCCTTGCAGTTTGGCCACACAAGCTTTCCAAAGCGTCAGAAGGCGAGACAAGAAGGAATGGATGGGAGCTGATCAAAGAGAGAACCAACCTAGAACTAAGGAGAAATTTCTTGCCAGTGAGAACAATTCCTCATTTGTTAGGTGAGTTTTGCAAAATTGGGAATTGAAGTCCACGCCTCAGAAACCAGGTTGAGAATCACCGCATTCAACAAATAAATAAAAATTTGCAGCAACCAATTACCTTCCACAACAATGCTATATTTTAATTTATCCCAGAAGGGTTAAGAAGGGTTTACAAGACTAAAGGAGGACATCTTCAGCCACGAACAACATTTTTAGGAAAGCAGAACTTTCAGAAACCAAAACTGGTAGCTCACTTCATTTCCAGCGACAACATCTTACTGATAGCCTGCCAATTTCAGGATAGTTGGGTATCGGGTACGGTGGGCCATGCATTTCTGCCGGTCGATAAAAAGGCTGTTGGTTTTCACAGCGATCTCCTTCTCCAGATGCATCCGGCTGTCTTCCAGATTATGGAGGCTTTGCTCAGATTCCAGCAGTTTCTTCTTCAGAGATTCAATGGATTCGGTCAGTTCTTCCACTTCACTGATGAGCCTGAATGGAGGACAAAAGAGGAGAGCATGTTGGCAGTGTGGATTGAGATCTCCCCCCCATAGAGAATGAGAAGCTGGGGATGAAACTGGCCTGGAGATAACATTTTCCAGGAAATGTTCACCAATACATCTAAAACAGGAATGCAGATCTAGCTAAGCCATCTTAGCAAATGGACCTGTCTCACAGTGGTCTCAATCATTAAGAGAATAAGAGAATTCTTTATTGGCCAAGTGTGATTGGACACACAAGGACTTTGTCTCTGGTGCAGAAGCTCTCAGTGTACATACAAGCAGCCAGTGATAAATCATAATCATAAAATACAATCATCATAAATCATAAGATACAACACTCGGTGATAGTCATAGGATACTAAATAGATGCAATCAACATAAATCGTAATAGGTTACTAAATAAATGCAATTCAACATAAATCACAAGATACAAACAACAAGTGATAGTCATAAGAAGCTAAGGAAATAGGTCATAGGGAAATTGAGACGGATAAAAACATTTTCAATTTACAAAGAGAAATGGACATTTTTCTGACTGATTATAGGAATGGTAAGCCTGCTGCTTTCAGAGCAATTGACTTTATCCAGAGAAAAAGCAGATTAGAAAACTGCACCTAATTAAAAAACTTAATTGGGGTGATTCAGTAACAGTTTTGTTCCATACAGTATCAACTTTGTAAACTCTCAAGCTTCCTCTTTCCACTATGTATTCAAGATGGACAGCAATTAATATTTATATGTATTTATATGCAAGGGTGTAGGTGTGTGCATATGTCATATATATGTCATATAGCATGTCCATATGTGTGTTATGTGTGTGTACACTTTTGACGAATTTCATTTTTAATGTGTGTCAGTGTGCTCCCAGTAAAAAATGACAATAAAGGTTATCTATCTAATAAGCATTATGAATAGAATAGAATAGAATAGAATAGAATAGAATAGAATAGAATAGTTGGAAGGGACCTTGGAGGTCTTCTAGTCCAACCCCTGCTCAGACAGGAAATCCTATACCATTTCAGACAAATGGTTGTCCAATCTCTTCTTTAAAACTTCCAGTGTTGGAGCATTCACCGCTTCTGGAGGCAGGTTGTTCCACTGGTTAATTGTTCTGACTGTCAGGAAGTTTCTCCTTAGTTCTAGGTTGCTTCTCTCCTTGATCAGTTTCCATCCATTGCTTCTTGTCCTGCCTTCAGGCCAGTGGTTCTCAACCTTTTTAATGCCGCCACCCCGAACTGGTCATAAGTCGAGGACTACTCAACTGGTGCAGCACCGTTTGCAGAATGGGACTTTTGGCGAGCTCAGCAGGGCAGAGACAGCCTGGACAATTCCTATTGGCTTTTGAAAGCCAATAGAATTAGACTCTATTCAAGAGTCTCTTCTATTGGCTTTCAAAAGCCAATAGAATAAAAGAGAGTAGCACAGCTAAGGAAAAGGGGGGAAAATGGCGGACTGCGTTGTTTGGCGACCCCCGTGAAATGGTCATTTGACCCCAAATGGGGTCCCGACCCACAGGTGGAGAACCACTGCTTCAGGCGCTTTGCAGAATAGCTTGACTCCCTCTTCTTTGTGGCAGCCCCTGAGATATTGGAACACTATCCTGTCCCCCCTCATCCTTCTCTTCGTTAAACTAGACATTCCCAATTCCAGCAACCGTTCCTTATATGTTTTAGTCTACAGTCCCCTAATCATCTTTGTTGCTCTTCTCTGCTCTCTTTCTAGAGTCTCAGCATCTTTTTTACATTGTGGTGACCAAAACCGGATGCAGGATTCCAAGTGTGGCCTTACCAAGGCATTGTAGAGTGGCATTAACTCTTCATGTGATCTTGATTCTATCCCTGTGTTTGGAGGCATTTATCTTTTACAGATCCAAGATGTTAAATTATTTCATTCTTTAATGTTCCCCAAGGCTACCTAAAAGGGCCAAATCCTCCCTCTGTTTAAATCTCTGCTATCACAGCATCAATGACATCGTCCCGCCCTCCCATCGGTATTTGAAGACTCCAAATTATTTATTGTTTTTAAATCAGGAATTCCGGCTCCTCACTCACACACTCATATAAAACCACAAGAGAATTTTATACATTTGTGATTTGAATGGACAGAACGGCACAAAGTATTAGGAAACCAGCAATATTTGATGAGTGAAATGTCAAATGTCTCCAATTCACCTGGCAAAAACTCCTTTCTCTAGACCAGTGGTTCTCAACCTTTTTAATGCCGCGACCTCCAACCGGTCGTAAGTCGAGGACTACTCAACTGGTACAGCACCGTTTGCAGAATGGGACTTTTGGCGGGCTCAGCAGGGCAGAGACAGCCTGGACAATTCCTATTGGCTTTTGAAAGCCAATAGAATTAGACTCTGTTCAAGAGAGTCTATTCGATTGGCTTTCAAAAGCCAATAGAATAAAAGGGAGTAGCACAGCTAAGGAAAAGGGGGAAAAAATGGCGGACTGTGTTGTTTGGCGACCCCCGTGAAATGGTCATTCGACCCCAAATGGGGTCCCGACCCACAGGTTGAAAACCACTGCTCTAGACATTTAAGAGGAGAATTAACTTGAGTTGCCAGAACATACAACTTAATGATTGTTTTTATAACATAAAGAGGTAAGATTCAGAAATTCTGGCACTCTAAAGAATTTCCACTTGCATCTTAAAAGACTGAAAGAACGATTATGTCTGCTCCTTGGATTAATTTCAGTCCTTTGATTTTATGGTATTGTGGAGGAGAAACACGTACTGCAAAAGCATTCAACAAAAACTAATCAAGGAGAAAAGCAACCTAGAAATAAGGAGAACTTTCCTAATGGTGAGAACAATCAACCTGTAAGGACCCACCCCACTTTGCATCTTAAGAAGACAGAACTCTTGGAATAATTCTTCCATCCTTTATTAAGAGAAAATGGTTGCAGGCGTTCTAGACAGGACTTGGGGTCCAAGCTCTCCCATTCGAGGTTTTAAGGGGTTCCCCAGTAGCTCCACCCAATCACCCCCTTCTTCCAGCGACAGTCTCAGGCATTACACTCCCACCCCCTTTTCCTTACTGCCGGCTGGAGGGAGACTTCAGAGAGGAGTACATGAAAGGTACTAGCCCCATTGTTATGGTTAGTCCTTTTGGTGATACACACATCCAGTTCCTTTGAAGTTGTACCGAAGGAAGTGAGAGCCATAAAGCCCCTTTGTTCACCCCCTTCCCTTCCTCGTATGACAGAATCCATAGAAGGCAGAAATGGGGTTTTCTATAATTGATAACTAGAGATGAAATATAATTGGATTCTGACACAACCAGTGGAACAGCTTTGCCTCCAGAAGCTGTGAACGTTCCAACACTGGGACCTTTCAAGAAGAGACTGGACAATTATTTATCTGAAATGATAGGGGGTTGGACTAGAAGATCTCCAAGGTCTCTTTCAACTCTGTTATTCTGTTATTCATCATCATCATCATCATCATCAGTTAAATTAATCTAGCGCCCAATGACTTACCTGAACTGGGCGGCATCTCTGCACAGATCCACGTTGGGCCTAAAGGAGCGATCATAAAGCCTAGTCTGGGCTACTTTGAGGGGTGCTTCTTTGTCCTTAATAGCTTGCTTCAGTGCCTGAATGTTGTGCTCCTGGTGCCCAATCTCCTGGAGGGTCTGTTCAAAGAGGAGATTAAAGATAGCAGTTTTTTAAAAATAAATAAATAATCAGTAACTGACCACCAATGGTGCATGGACTGGCAACAATTTGCAAAGAATTGAATCAAGGTATGTGGAGGCTGAGAATCAACTCTTCCCAAGAAGATATCCTAGATGTTTCAGAGGAAACTCTAGCAGGCATCTGATGTAGCAAAAGGCCTCTGTTGATGCAGGCTAAGTTCTGCATCAGATGAGAAGAATTCTAGACCATGCAAAACAACTCTGGTTTTGTTTCAACAACTCTTGAAGTTGAAATTGACTGATTGATTGAATTTTTTTTTTTTTTTTGCACACGGCGGCAGAGGCCTAAAGCGAAAAGGTTTTATAAAACCCAGCTGAAGGCCTAGGACTGGGGCAACGGTGCGCATGCCCACAGAGAGGGCTCTGAGTGCCACCTCTGGCACCCGTGCCATAGGTTCGCCACCACTGCTCTATTCTATTCTACTTTACAATTTAGTATCAAAAAACTGGTGGCATACACAGAGATTAAGAACTGGACTTTCATGAAGAGAATTCAAAAGCCTTCATTTCACTGGCTGAACACTTTTTTTCTATGTTCAAGATGAAAACAATTTCTTCTTGATTTATGAAGATACTGGTGAATTTCATTACAGTCTCATAAACAGGCTGAAATTCACACCTCATCTATAAAATGTCAAAGTCATTTGGAAAAGCTTCTTACACTGACTGAGCTTCTAGAAAGACAAACTTCTGGCATCTCTCTGGCTAAAAGTTTCACAGAGGCTAAAGGGCATCTTAAACAATTTCAAATAAAGATGAAGGCAAAAATGGCTTCCCTGTCTGAAAGCAGCCCCCTTCTAAAGCCCGCAGCTGAAGGTCAACTGAATTTGTTGTACAAAGGAGGATCAACCAGACCCCCCCTCCTTGGTTTGATCCTCCATGACTACTTCTCAAACCACATGATACATGTCTGCAATTTTCCCACTCCTTTCCCTCCCCCCAAAAAATGCTTATGGGCTTCACCCAAACTCTCCTTCCCATTCTTTAAAAGGTGCTCCCACGTTTTCTCAAGAGCTGGACTTCCAGCATCAACAGTGGGGAGAAGCAAAGGACGTGGGCCCCTACTTTTCGTAAGCTGTGCTCCAGCTTGTGCTTGGCATCCTCCAGCTCCTCACAGCGCTTGGCAAAGGCCTGGTTCACCACGTCACACTGCAGGCGCAGGTCCTCGGCTGTGTCATGGAGGATGTTGTCAACCAGGGCACGGAGGTTGACGGATGCCAACCTTTCTCGCTCAGCCCGGTAGATGTTGTCGTGGCTGTGCTTGGCCCACGTCTCTGGGGTGGAAGCACTGCAGGGAAGATGCAGATGGGAGCGGGGGGGAGGGGAGGACATAAATCATATGGAACTTTAATGCTGTAACCTAAATTTACAGGACAGTCTTCATTTCTATAGAACACATCTCAAAAGAAATGTAGAAAGGTGGCAGTAGAATGGAATGGTATAGGGTTGGACTAGAAGATCTCCAAAGTCCCTTCCAACTCTGCTATTCTATTCTATTCTATTCTATTCTATTCTATTCTATTCTATTCTATTCTATTCTATTCTAATTCCTATTCTATTCTATTCTATTTCCTATTCTATTCTAGTCCAGTCCATATTTTCTATTCTATTCTAATTCCTATTCTAGTCCAGTCCATATTTTCTATTCTATTCTATTCTATTCTAATTCCTATTCTATTCTATTCTATTCTATTTCCTATTCTTTTCTAGCCCAGTCCATATTTTCTTTTCTTTTCTATTCTATTCTATTCTATTCTATTCTATTCTATTCTAATTCCTATTCTATTCTAATTCCTATTCCTATTCCTATTCTATTCTATTCTATTCTATTCTATTCTATTCTATTCTATTCTATTCTATTCTATTCTATTCTCCAGTCCACTCTATTCTACTCTACTCTACTCTACTCTACACTCCACTCCACTCCACTCCACTCATATTTGACAAAAGTATGGAAAGGTGGGCCTTTCACGAGAATCAGGGTCAAACCCACTTCATCATGAAGCTCACTGGTCAGCCCCCCCCACGCATCTCTTGATTAATTGATTATATGCCATCAAGTCAGTTCAACTCCAACCATATAGATGGATTCTCCTCTCTTAGCTATACTATTAAGGATTGTTGCCCTGATGCCAACAGAAGAAGAGAACCACGATACTGTCTGAAGCTACCCGGAGTGATGATGGGAATGTCAAGATGGACTTACAGAATATATTGTTCAAGGTGATAAAGAGCACCACTCCCTTTCTTGGGTTGAGTTCAAAGCTTAGTCTTCTTAGCAACAGGGCCAATGGAAATGGCCATACCAGTGCGGCCCAGACTGCAGGAATTTGGCCTAAAATCTAGAATTCCATGAAAAAAGCCACTTTTCTCTTTCAAACAAAGGTTGAAAGGGGACAGATACCATGGCAATGTGCAAACGCACAGATAGGGAAAGGAGTCCAGGCCCTAATCAAACACAATCACAACAGTCAAGCGAAAAGCACCTTGAGGAAAAGGCAACATATCAAAACAAAGAGTAAGAGGACCAGTACAATAACAATTTGGAGCTGGGAAAGAGGCAGAAGGAGGTTCTGAAATTGCAGCAGCATCAGTATGAAGAAAAATAAAGAATTTGGGGCTTCCGTTTTTTTTTTTCTTCTTCTTCATTTAGCAAAGCAATAGAGAAGACGCCGGGTCTTGGTGGCAGAAAGAACCAATCTATCAAATCTTAATTCACATAAAAATGTATGTCCTGTGCTTCGTAGAAGGAGCTAAAATTAAAAATTGGTACATAGGGAGAAAGATCTGGGGGTTCTGGCAGACCAGAGAGATTCAGGGTGAGCTAGTAATGTGCTGCAGGTGCCAAAAAAGCCAATACACAAATGTTATGGGAGAGAAACTATAAATTAACAATGTCAACTTCATACAAAGAAAATTTGTATAAAATGTTTTATAGATGGCACCTTCCACCAGCAAGATTAGCAAAAATGTTTAAAAATATGTCAGATAGATGTTGGAAATGTAAACATAACATAGGCACGTATTATCACATTTGGTGGACATGTGGGAAGGCAAAGGCCTATTGGAAAAATATACATATGTGGTTAGAAAAAATATTGGGCGAACAAGTGGATTTTAAACCTGATTTTTTTCTACTAGGCATTATGCCTGAAAAGACTAATAAGCAGAAACTATATTTAATTCTACACATCACTACAGCAGCGAGAATAATTTTTGCACAGTACTGGAAGAATGAAGGATTGCCATCAGAGGAAGAAATAATCAGGAAAATATTGGAATGTACAGAGATGGACAGATTAACTATGAGGTTGAAAGATAAAGAAGATACAGACTACTATCAAATTTGGAATTTATTTTATTCTTGGTTAGAGAAGAGAATGAAGGATTAGGAATTGAACGTGTATTAGCATAGCAATTCCAAACAACTTGTTGATTGGAAAAATTAACATACGTTGATGAAAAAAAATTGATAAAATTTTTATTAAAAAAAAAAAAAGCCAATACAGTTTTGGACTGCATCAATTAGACTAGAGCAGGGGTAGGCTGACTCAGGAATTCTGGGAGTTGAAGATCTTGAGTCATAAAAGAGCCGAGGTTGCCTACCCCTGGACTAGAGAATTTTGCCCCAACAATGCTTCCTTGGGGATCCTGGTTTATCCCCAACAAGGACTTGGTCTTACCTGTCCTCAAACTTGGAGGAGCTGGGATGGAACTGAATGTTGGTGCTCTGGTTGCTGTATCGCCCGCATTTCTCGTCAATGTTGTAGGTTTCGACCTTGTCAGACCAATCCATCTCGCAGACCTGCTTGTGGTCCCGATTTAACCTGCAGGGGGGGAGGGACCACAAAGTTTAGTGCCCAGTCCTGGTTGAAAGTGAGGTGGGCCCCTACCCTGCTGGCCTTCCACGAAGGTGTAAAAACGTGCCTCCCTAGCTGTACTCAGGGCACGCAGAGGAACACGTAGCCCTGGGGCTAGTTGGTGCCCTGAAAGCCCCACCACCACCATTGGTTGGTTTGTTTGTTTAGCAGTAGCAATAGCACTTAGATTTATATGCTGCTTCCCAGCGCTTTACAGCCCTCGCTAAGCGGTTTACAGAGTCAGCCTATTGCACCCCCAACAATCTGCGTCCTTCTTTTACCAACCTCGGAAGGACGGAAGGCTGAGTCCACCTTGAGCCGGTCAGGATCGAACTGCTGGTGGTGGGCAGTGAGTTAGCTGCAGTGCTGCGTTCTTGCCACTGCACCACCAGGGCTCTTTGTTTATTTATTTAATTAATTAATTAAAGAGCAGGGGCAATTTTTAATCCCCTTAAATACAGGTAGTACGGCAGTTAGTCACTTAGTCAGTCACTCAGTCAGTCAGTTGTAACTTAAAGTTTTTTCTGCTACTCAGAATAACAGAAAAATGTGTTACTGGGCATATTAACAGCAGCCCAGGCAGTCCTCAAGTTACGACCACAATTGGGCTCACATTTTTTTGCTGCTAAGTGAAACGTTTATTGTGAATTTTGCCCCATTTGACAACCTGTCTTGCCACAGTTGCTAAGTGAATCACTGCCATTGTTCAGTTAGTAACATGGTTGTTAAGTGAATCTGAATTCCCCCTTGTGGTTTGGCTTGTCGGAAGGTCGCAAATGGGGATCACGTGAGCCTCCCGGGGACAGTGCGACCGTCCTAAATACGAGTCAGTTGCCAAGCGTCTGAATTTTGATCACATGCTGCAACGGTCTTAAGTGTGAAAAATGGTCATAAGCCACGTATTTTAATCCTTTTCATTAGGATTAGGGCTACCCTCATATAGCCAAGGAAGTAACTCCGGGAACTCTTGATCCATCATTCTCTCTCTCTGCTCAGCCTACCTCACAGGACTGTTGTCTGGAAAAATGGAAATCTTGTATAGTACTGCACTTACATAGAAGCAGATCCCAAATAAAGATGTCAAAATGCTAATAAATAATGATAGGATTTCTGGAAATTAGTTTTGTTTTCATAGGACACATTTGAAAACTGAAAACATTCCTAAACCTGACTTTCCATTAATTTCAGAATAGCTTTCCGTGTTGTTGTTTTTTAAACCTATTTTGTATTTCCAGAGCACCACCAGCTTTCAAACAGGGACGTGATGAAATACTTCTTGTTTCTACGTGTCACCTGGGGGCAATTTAAACTGAAAAATAAGAAAGCTTGATGTCACGCTAAGAACATCTCAAGAATGCAATTAAAAATAATTGCAATATAATTTGAGAGATCATCTCTCTCCAGTCATTCCAAGTACATGACAATCACCTGTAAGAATTAAAGAGTTATGAATTTTGTAAAGAATTTAAGAGCTGCCAGGCAATGCAAGCGCAGACCAGGAAATAGTGTAAGGGACTTAGAAAACGGTTATTTTGGTTGTTGTGCAATTATTATTTTTTTTTAAAAAATCTGTAATTTACAAAAATACAGATCCATAAAATAACACAGAATCCAAGAATGCAGAAAATATAAGTTTGTGATTCAAGGCTTTTGCCTGTCTTTTATTATTCATAATCCTAAATAATTTAACCTGCATTCAGATCTACAGACTCTTTTTGTTTTTCCTGTATTTGGCTACAAAAATAAAGCACAGGGGACATTTTAAAACAAAAACAAAAACACACAGGCTCTACTCTCTGATTTACCGTATTCTGACTACAATTTTTTGAAAGTCAGCCCGATTTATCCTATAACTTCGACAACATGAGTGCCTGTCTCCTTGTTTCCTATATTATACCGCCATCTGGTGGAAGAACAGGAAATGAACCCAAAAAAATCACTAACTTTTTCTTGAATAAAAACACGAAAATTAGTGAGTTTGTTTCTCAACCGTCAATTTTCTTCCTGGCAAAAGAGATTTCTTTGTTTCCACCCCCACCACCCCCCAAGCATGCTAGCCTATTGCTGTTGTTAGTATTTCTAAGTTGGCTTTCTTGGAGGTAGTAAATGAGATAACCCCTGGTGTTCTTGTTTATTTTTTTTTAATGCCTTACAGGTAGTCCTGGACTTACGAACACAATTGAGTTCAAAATATCTGTTGTTAAGTGAGATACTTGTTAAGTGAGTTTTGCCCCCATTTTATGACTTTTCTTGCCACCGTTAAGTGAGTCGCTGCATTTGATAAGTTAGTAACACGCTGTAAAGTGAGTCTGGCTTGTTAAATTGTCAAATCGTGGGACATCTTAGTGCGGTAAGTGAACTAAGCCAAGGATTTTGCGTCCTATGCCAGCCAGTTTGTTTCATTTTGACACTGGCATTATAACAGCAACCATGACAATCTAAAGTATGGATCCTAAACAGGATTTATGATCATTCGGTTAACAACCATCTGAGGTTATGACAATATTGAAAAAAGTGGCTTTTCCCCACATACATAAAAGAGTCGTAATGTCACAGTTGATAGAATGCAGTATGGCAAGCTAACTCTGCCAACTGCCAGTAGTTCGATCCTGACTGACTCAGGGTTGACTCAGCCTTCCATCTGTTGGTAAAATGAGAAACCCAGATTGTTGGGGGTGATAGGCTGAATCTGTAAACTGCTCAGAGAGAGCTGTAAAGCACTATGAAGCAGTATATTTCTGATTGCTATTGCTATTCTGTTCTATTACTATAGTGGTGCAGTGGTCAGAATGCAGTATTGCAGGCTAATTCTACCAACTGCCAGTAGTTCGATCCTGACAGGCTCAAGGTTGACTCAACTTTCCATCCTTCCAAGGCCAGTAAAAGGAGGGCCTTGGAATGTGCTGACTCTGTAAGCTGCTTAGAGAGGGCTGTGAAGCACTGTGAAGCGGTATATAAGTCTAGATCAGTGGTTCTCAACCTGTGGGTTGGGACCCCATTTGGGGTCGAACGACCATTTCACGGGGGTCGCCAAACAAGGCTGTCCGCCATTTTTCCCCCTTTTCTTTGGCCACGCCCCTGGCACCTGGTTGGGGGGTCACCACAACATGGGAAACTGTATTATGGGGTCATGGCATTAGAAAGGTTGAGAACCACTGGTCTAGGTGCTAATGCTATTGCTAAAATTGTCGCCCTATATACCCATGGCCACATAATCAAAATTTGGGCTCTTGGCAACTGGCATTTATACACAAAGGCTTCAGAACCCCAGAATCATATCATCACCATTTGTGACCTTCCCAACTGGTATCCAACAAGCAGACTCAATGAGGGGTGCAGGATTCGCTTAACAACGGCATGACCGTGGCATTACTTAACAACCGTGGTAGCTTACTTAAAGACTGCTGCAAAAAATGAAAACCTGGAAATATAAAATTGTAAAATGAATGACCGCCTCCCTCAGCAATGCAAGTTCCAATCCCGATTGTGATTGTAAGTTGAGATTACCTGTATTTTCAATCACGCTTTTTTAAAAAAAAAAAAGAGCTTGGCAAAGGGTGGCAGGACCAGAGGTTCATCCAAACAAAATCAGACACGGCCTTGTTTAGTTGTGCAAAGTTGTGCAAAGAGGTTGGGAACCAGGGAGGCAAAGATGCAGAAGGTAAGTTGCATCTCTGGACTTCATTTGAGAAAGAGGATCCTCAGGTCAATTTAGGGCCGGGGTAGGCAACCTTGGCTCTTTTATGACTCGTGGACTTCAACTCCCAGAATTCCTGAGCCAGCTTGGGGAAACTATGGCCACTTCATGACTCTTGGACTTCAATTCCCGGAATTCCTGAGCCAGCATGGGGGAACTAAGGCCCCCTCATGACTCGTGGACTTCAACTCCCAGAATTCCTGAGCTAGCATGGGGGAACTATGCCCCCCTCATGACTCATGGACTTCAACTCCCAGAATTCCTGAGGCAGCATGGGGGAACTACGGCCCCCTCATGACTCGTGGACTTCAGCTCCCAGAATTCCTGAGCCAGCATGGCTCAGCTTGGAAACCTCTCCCTTTCACCTCAGTGTGGCTGGCTCAGGAATTCTGGGAGTTGGAGTCCATGAGTCATAAAAGAGCCAAGGTTGCCTACCCCTGGTTTAGGGCATGTGACACCCCACCAAAACTTAGAAGCTGGTCATCCCCAGATACTGAAAAGAGGCCTTACTGCATCTGATTAACAGCTTGCTTCACTGTCCTTTTCAGGAGCTCTTGGATGTTTCGGATGAGCTCCGTTTCCTAAATGAAAGTGGTAAAAACATTAGTATCAGGAGGCAAGGAAGGGCAGCCTTTAAAACGATGGCCCCACTTTCCATTTGTTCAGAACTGTCTGCCTGTTGTGGGTTTCAAAGCAGAAGCAAAATACATCACTAGGCAGAGCGTTTTGTTTAAAAGGGTCCGTTTTTTAAAAAAAATTCATAGGCAAGTTCCTAGCCCTCATGGTTGCAAACCTACTGGCAATCAGGATCTAACAGCAAAATCTCCTGACTAGGAGAGGTTAGGATCAAGGATATTCTGTTCCCTGATTAGAGCTTTTTACAGGAGCTGAATCTTCCTGTCACACTGGGTGCCCCCCTCCCAGAACTGCCTTCCTTTTGAAAATAACCGCTTCCCATCTGGAATACGGCCTTGACTCGGTTTCCTTTCTGCAGCCTCCCTAGGAATCATAGAAATGTTCTGCAACTAAAGCATCTGGGTTCAGTACTAGCACTGGTTTGCATTTTAGAAACAGAGCAGGTTTGGGGTCTTGATGGGGGGGGGGGAGAGGGGCCTTAGAATACGGGATATTAAACTGGGGGCGGCAGGATGGAGCAGGAGAATTCCCAAGATGGATAATGAACCTTTGGAAGGGAAACAGACCCAACATTTGACTAAGGGAGGCTGATCAACTTGCAAGGCCCAATTGTCTCCTCTCTCTGTATTTCTGGCCGCAAAGACCCCAGAGCCCCCTCCCCGCTCCAAATGAGGGGGGTGGGTCTGATATTTGTGGACTTCTTCCTCATTTTGGGGTTGGGAAAGCTCAAGTTGAAATGGGAGGGTTATCTTTTGTAGAGACTTAAAACATACTCAGCATCCCTTTAAAAAGACAACGCTAAAAAGGGGTATTTATTTTTTCCCATCTTGGAGAACAAGACCAAAGAACCAAAGGGATGCCTCCCCAATCCCCAAAGGAGGGTACAATGGGATCCCCACTTGGGAAAGGAAGCTGCGTCTGTTGCACCGTCTGTTGCACCATCGGCTGATCTGTGCAGGAGCAAGCGAGGAGGGAGAGCTCTCCCTTGATGGACAAGGCTGTCCGGGGAAGGGCCAAGCAGGCAGCTGTCAATCCACAGCTCACACCTTCAGCCACACAACCAGGAGCCTCCACAAGACCTGGTCAAAAAAGTCAACATGGCAGTCATGACAGTGCAATCAAAGCATTGCAAATAAGGCCAGATGGGCAGCATACAAGATAGATAGATAGATAGATAGATAGATAGATAGATAGATAGATAGATAGATAGATAGATAGATGGATGGATGGATGGATGGATGGATGGATGGATGGATGGATGGATGGATGGATGGATGGATGGATGGATGGATGATAGGATAGATAGATAGATAGATAGATAGATAGATAGATAGATGGATGAATGGATGGATGGATGGATGGATGGATGGATGGATGGATGGATGGATGGATGGATGGATGGATAGATGATAGGATAGATGGATGGATGGATGGATAGATAGATGGATGGATGGATAGATAGATAGATGGATGGATGGATGGATGGATAGATGATAGGATAGATGGATGGATGGATGGATAGATAGATGGATGGATGGATAGATAGATAGATAGATAGATAGATAGATAGATAGATAGATAGATAGATAGATAGGATAGATGGATGGATGGATAGATAGACAGACAGACAGACAGACAGTGGATGGATGATAGATAGATAGATAGATAGATAGATAGATAGATAGATAGATAGATAGATAGATAGATAGATATGGATAAGTGGATGATGGATACTGGGTGGAGTTTAAAATGCATTGTTGTGGCCACCATATTGATTATTTTGACCACACTCTGTGGACCTACCTACGTCAGTTGTTTGGCGCTCAGAACCAAGCTACCTTCTTTGCAACCGTTTCCTGCAGAGATCACTCACAAGGACATCTGGCTGTTCTCCTTCCCTGGTCCAAAGGCCATTTGGAAGTTCAAAGGTGACTTTCTCACCTCTTTGAACCGCTGCTGACTTGTCTTATTCATGATGGGTGGAATTTCCAGAGGGAGTACTTCTGGTTTAATCATTCCAATTTTATCCTATCCCCAAGAGAAGCAGGCTGGCTCGTTCCCCAAAGCACCAGTCCAGCAAAGGAGCAGTTATGTTTTGATTATGAGGTCGGATATAAGCTGCTCCCATCACATAGTGAGTCTCTAAGCCTTTTTGAAAAAAAAAATGCATATATGTAAAAATCCACAGGTTTCCTAGCTAATTTTTACGGGCAAGGTGGAAAACAAGATGTATTCACGAATGATCTCATTCAAGAGCATCAAGCCATATTCCTGGATGGCGTCATTTGTGAATGCATCTTGTAGCAAGCTCACTTCCAACTTTACTTCCACATGGCTAAATATGGTGCAAAGCAAATGAGGTATTTAGTTGTGCTGCATTGAGTCCATCTAGGTCAGAGGTAGGCCACCCTGGCTCTTTTATGACTCGTGGACTTAAACTCCCAGAATTCCTGAGTCCACGAGTCATAAAAGAACCAAGGTTGCTAGCCCTGATCTAGGTCAACATTGCTTATTCTGCCTGGATGCATTGTGCTAGGTGACATTGGTTTTGATCACAACTTGTTGCATAGGCTCCATCTGCCTTGGGTTCACACCATCCTTCAAGCCATAATGTGATCCCAGGCTAGTAGTTGTTTTGTGTGAACCTGACTGTGGGCCGGTTTGGGTTCTCCAGGGTTTCAGACAAATGATCTTTTGTAGTTTGACTGGAGACACCAGAGTAGAAACTGGGGACGTTTTGTGCTGCCAAAGAGAACCTCCAGTCTCAGCTCAAGTTCTTCCCTGACTCCAAAAACGTGCAAACAGCCCTGCACCTGGGCAACATTTATGCAGGAAATGCCTTACCTTGAGCAGCTCTACCTCCACCTGGTCCCTCACCAGGTCAGGATGTTGCCGACGCTCCCGGCACTGCAGGTTGTCTGTGGCAATGCTGTAGGGGAGCTCGGTGGCGTCAATGGCTCGCTCCAGCCGCAGCTTCTGAGCTGCTAGCTGGTCAGTCTCAGCCACCAGGTCCTCAATCTCCCTCTGGAGCTCCGACTTCCAGAAGTGGATGTCCTGGAGCCGCTGGCCCACCTTAGCCGTGGAGTCCTCCTGGGTGCGCTGGGACAACTCAGCCGTGTAATTGGCCAGGTTCTGGGACTCGTGGCGGCAGCGCTCAGAGTGGTCGCGGTCGGCAAAGGCCTCATGGTATTGGGTGTAGTTATTCTGGTGCCATTCTTCGGGCAGGAACTTGGCCGTGCGGAAGCCAGCTGTGGCCAAGCCGCTGGATGAATCGGGACCAGTGTTCAGAGCCGGCTCGTAAACCTTCATGGGGAGCTCAGAGACAGGGACGCACTGCGGAGCAGGCTCCTTGGTGAGAAGCACGGCAGGCTGAGACATGACTCGGGTGGCAGCTTTGCCAGGCCAGGAAATTCCACGGCTCACTCAGGGGCCTCGGGGATGCTCGGCTGCCACAAAAGTTGCTCTGATCAGCGTCTTCCTGTTGCTATGGGCAACACTCCTGGCCAATGAGCAAGCTGATCTCTGCTGCAAGGAAACGGACCAGCCTTTGAACTTTGGTGTTCTCTTGTTGCCCGGGCGACAAGCCAATGAACTGCAGGGGAAGTCACAACACAGGTGACATAATCCCTCTTCACCCAGAGAGTTGGAAAGGATGGGAGTGCACAAGAGTGCACACACACACTCACACCGAGCCCCCAAGGGGTGTGGCAAGAAACTGGGGCACTAGGGCAACCAAGCTGTGCCTTGTCATGATAAAAATAATTGCACAGTGATAAAGTAAATGTAGACATTGACCTGATTGTACTGAAAACTAAAGAAGAATAACAAGGGCATCCTTCATCCACACTGCCCTTTAAAGGGAATGTAATGTTATTACAATAATAATACACCCTCAAGGCCAGAACTGAAAAATCATCAGACGATTCAAAGTTGAGATTGTGCAAAAAAAACAGAGGAAACAGATCACTCAGCTCATGCAAGAAGATTGCACAAACTGAGGATAAACAAAATGGTCATCAAAATGGTTTACTGGAACATCTGCAAAAATCATCATGTGCCAGAAATGAAAAATAGGTGGGAACATATACTTGAAAAAGTAGAAGATGAGCAAGTTAAAATACTGTAGGATTTCCAAATTCAAACTGATAAAAGTCTTGGCTCATAACACGCCAGATTTTACTACAGTAGGAAAGGAGAAAGTGTGGATAATTGAAGTGGCAATACCAGGGCGTGTAGTAGAATAGAAGGCAGAGAACTGGAGAAGATCAGAAAGTGTTAAGATCTGAAAATCAAAGTTGAAAGTTTATAAATTATAAATCCAAATTGATGGCGATCCCAGTGGTTATTGGTACATTGACTGAAACATAGGACATGGAAATTTCCATCTGTCAGCTGCAACCAGGTGATATGGCGGGAATAACGCAAAAAAGAATAGCAAAAGGCATGAATCCACACATATCCTATGCCAACATATTACGAATTCCTAAGTTCTTAGGAAGAACTCGATGTTATGAAGACCAACGGCAGATACTGTATAAAGAACTGGCAGCTGTGATTTCACATTGTTGTCAACAGATACTATCTCTACTTTTATAGTTTGCCTATTAAGTTTCTAGACAAGCCAATGTCCTCCAAGCAACACTGTAAAACAGCCTTGTCCAAGAGGCTAATTGCAAGGCCCTGTGACAGTTGCAGATATTTAGACATTTCATTCGTTGGCAATTCCCTTTAACATCTTGAGTACCTGTAAAATCAATACAGTTCTAGAGAAGCAGACTTCCTTAGGTTCAGCCTAGAAATGTGAGTGCCTAAGAATATTCTTCTGAGCGCCAGAGAACTGAGGCCTTTGAACTATGGTGCTGGAGAAGACTCCTGCGAGTGCCCTGGACTGCAAGGGGATCAAACCGGTCAGTCGTAGAGGAGATCAACCCTGACTGCTCTTTAGAAGGCCAGATCCTGAAGTTGAAACTCAAATACTTTGGCCACCTAATGAGAAGGAAGGACTCACTGGAGAAGAGCCTGATGCTGGAAAAGATGGAGGCCAATAGAAGAAGGGGACGACAGAGAATGAGATGGTTAGATGGAGTCACTGAAGCAGTAGGTGTGAACTTAAATGGACTCCAGAAGATGGTAGAGGACAGGAAGACCTGGAGGAACGTTGTCCGTGGGGTCGCGATGGGTCGGACACGACTTCGCAATTAACAACAAGAATATTCTTACTAATAAACAGATGGTAAAATAAGAAATAGCATTCAATATTATTGAAAGTAGGTGTTTATTAATTAAATTTAGGTAAGCCATCTTTAAAAGCTATCTTCCTAAAATAAGCCATCATAATCAAAGTCACCATAATCTACATACAGGTAGTCCTTGACTCACAACAGTTCATTTAGTGACTGGCACTAAAAAAAAGTGACTTGTGGTTGTTGTTCACATTTACAACCGTTGCAACATCCCCAGGGTCACGTGATCAAAATTCAGATGCTTGGCAACCAGTTCATATTTATGACGGTTGCAGCGTCCTGCGGTCATGTGATCCCCTTTTGCGATCTTCTGACAAGCAACGTCAATGGGGAAGCCAGATTCTTTAACCACGGTGTTACTAACTTAACTGCAGTGATTCACTTAACTGTGGCAAGAAAGGTTGTAAAAAGAGGCAAAATTCACTTCACAAATGTCTCGATTAGCAACAGAAATTTTAGTCTGTTGTGGTTGGAAGTGGAGGAGTAGCTGTAGAAAGACCACCTTAAGAGCCCTGGTGGCGCAGTGGTTAGTATGCAGTATTGCAGGCTGACTCTGCCTACAGCCAGGAGTTCGATCCTGACCAGCTCCAGGTTGACTCAGCCTTCCAACCTTCCGAGGTCGGCAAAATGAGGACCCAGATGGTTGGGGGGGCAAAATGCTGACTATGTAAACTGCTTAGAAAGGGCTGTAAAAGCACTGTGAATCTGTAGGTAAGTCTAAGTGCTGCTGCTATTGCTAAAGAAAACCCCGCAAACGTTGAGGAAATGTTAAGAGAAACCACACACAAAAGTTGTCTTGGTATTTTTATCCACGTGATTTGCAGCTGCCCGTAAAGGGCTCAGCAGAGAGCACTTTTAGTTTTGCCGAAAAGTTTGAGAACAGATTGCTCCAAGAGGTCCCAGCAAGATGTCATCTTCTCCACCCTCATTCAACTGTCTCCTGAATGTCTTGTATTTCCATCTTCAGCTCCCGGTGATTGTTTTAATGCCTGGCTCTAAAGACCTGTGAATATGTCTGTATTTATATATGTGCAGAAAATATACATCATATGCAGGATCTCTTCTCCCCGGAGCAGTGTTTCACAACTGTGGCAACTGTAAGATAGGTGGACTTCAACTCCCAGAGTTCCCCAGCCAACATGCCAGCTCCCACCTTGCTTAGCTTCTGGACGTCTGTAAGGAACACAATCACAATCCTAATTATGTTTGTCATAACAAACCCATTTGACATGGCTCACCTTCCCACTTTCAGAGGCTACTTTTACATCGCCCACAAGTGAGGGTCGCTGTTAAAACGATGGCTCTTTGAAAAAGCTGAGCTCACATCCGTGCAAGTCCTGGAAACTGCCCGAATGCATTGAAGGTGGCCATCGTGTTTCCATTTCCGAAAGTTTTCTGGCTCTTATTGCCACCTAGCTTATACTGCAATTTACCCAGCATGCATGCGAAACCCAGAGCTGTGATATTCAACCCCTTTTAAAATCTCGATCCAGGAGGATTGCTGGAATCCTGGGCTAGGCCAAAATCGTTCCTAGCACACACAAAGGTTACCTCCCACAGCAGCTCCTTCTGCTCCATCCAGAGGCGTAGATGGGACCCCAAGTCTCAGTTCCTCCACTGGCCATGCTTGGGTTAGCCAAGGCTTCCATCGTACAGGTAGTGGGTAGTAGTAGTCCAGGTAGTAGCTAAGCCAGACATTTGTTAAATGAATTTGGCCCCGTTTTACGACTTGTGGCTTCTCCGTTGACTTTGCTTGTCAGAAGATTGCCAAGAGGATCCCGTGACCCCGTAAATATGAGTCAGTTGCCAAGCGTCTGAATTTTGATCACGTGACCATGGGGATGCTTCAATGGATGTGTGAAAAACAGCCAGTAAGTCACTTTTTTCAGCGCCGTTGTAACTTTTGAACCGTCACTAAACGAACCGCTGTTAAGTCAAGGACTACCTGTACTCCAGACAGATTTTGCAGGCTGCCAAGGTTGAAAAGAAAATTTTTTAGGATGCATTCCAACTGGATTTTCCCCCAGAATCAAGTTGGCACTTGATCTGCCACCCAACAAAAGCTATCACCCCACCAATCCAGGAAAAACATGTAAAATGCCATCCCCGGCATGTGACGTGGCCCCCACCCATTGCAGCTCGTAGCCCCTGCCCCCAAATATTACAGACAGATCTCAAATGACCATCCACTCTGACTAGCTCAACAATAAAGGAAGTAAACAAGCAGGCAAGTGTCGATTTATTTTATTTAATTTTATTACGGTTTTAAAAAGGTATCTATTTCTCCAGCAGAGCAAGGTCACATTTGAAGATTTGCAGGAATTCCATTTCAAACAAAGGAGGGTGGGGGGGGGGGAGAGAATCAGCTTTGCATTACTTCACTATAGCTCAAGTGTTTTAATATTTAAAATTGAATTTTAGTAATATGCAAGCCAAGCTCAGCTTCAATGCAGGATACACTATATGTAAAATCTGCCCCACATTCATGTTAAGTTTGGTTTACAGGGGAAAAACAGAATGAGACAAGTATGTTTTATAAAGGTTATAGTCTTCCCGAAGTCACAATCAAGGAGTGACCCTCTTAGGACAATTCCATGGCCGAGCTTTAAAGAAATTTGCTTGTGACACAACCCACTTCTCCAACGAGGGCCATCATGCAATCGAGAGTATGATTATTTTGGCAGGAGAGTGACAGCAAATAGTATTTGTTTTTCTTAAAAAAAAAAAAGCAGGAAAGTATAAAAAGTTTAAGCTTTACAAGCACACAGACTATAAGGACAGCTGGCTTATCCAAGCCTGTTTTTTTCTCTTTACCAAAACAAAAAAGATGGCACTAAAAATTTTAAAATCCTCAAATAATTTTGTTCAGAGGAGCTAGACTGAAAGCAAAGCTTCAAAGCACAGAAGAATTACTCTAGTCTAATTGGTAAGAGGGAAGGGGGGGGGGATAAATTCCACACACAGAGAGCTACATGCTCCGTTCTTTTTTTCAGTCTAACTGGGAAGCAATCTTAACTTCCTCATCTAGCATTTTGGGCCGGCTCATAACTACTTTGGAGAAACCACGGACCAAAAACCTCAGCAAAGCTCCATACTCATTCAGTGCACCGATGGTTTATAAATCAAGGAGTCTGTGTGTTCATCAGTGGCCCAAGTCCTTACTTCCTATTTCTCCATTCCAGGCCAATTGCTTCTTTCTGAGTATTAGACGGCTCCGCTCACTAGTTGAGTTTTTCAGTTACAATTTCATTTGAAGTACTACTTTTGTGTTTGTTTGTTTGTTTTTTGGCAGAATATTTTATCATTTTGCAACAGTCTTAATCCTGCACCCACAAACATTAAGTGCTTAATTCTCCAAAGAGAAATGCTTGTTTAAACCAGAAAGAACCATGCCACACTGACAATCTGCAGTCTGGATTCTCATTAAGTCAATAAGCCATCCATGAGCTGCACTCGACATTGGCAATCTTTAAAAAAAAAAAAAAAGAATATCTAAAAGATAATGCAACCTGAGACTTGAGGCTGGAATTAATGTTAAATTCCCATCGTTTCATGACAGGTCATTTTTAGCTGTTTAAGATGCAATTAGCGGTGTTTTTAAAAAGCTCCCCAAAGTAAACGAGGATAATGCTTCTCCCAGAGAATAACCGTGGCCTTTTAAGATGGAGTATGCTTCACGTTGCATTTTTCAAAGGCAAAAAAAACAAGGGTGCACAATTCAAAAGGCCCCTTACTGCTGCCTGAGTCCCTCCTGAATCAGCCCCACCCACCCACCCCCAAACTGCAAGGACTTCTGCTGCTTAGACAGATCTCCATGGATTTGACACAACCACTCCCAAATTAAGAGAAATAGAATGCCTCAGGAGACGAGGGATCTTGGGAAAACATCTGACTGATGGGGCATGAAGAGGCTCTAAGCCAGGGGGCCCCAACCACTTTAAAACTTGTGGACTTCAATTCAAAGCTGGCGGAGGGATTCTGGGAGTTGAAGTCCACAAGTCTTAAAGTGGCCCAGGTTGAGGAGCCCTGCTCTAAACTAAGGATCCTACAGTGCGTTTTGCTGCCCAGTCAAGCAACATTCAACTGGAATCTGGCTCCAAGGCTATTCTGAAAAACTGCAACTGCCCTTCGGCAGTCAAGGCAGACTAGCGATCCAATCCTCCTCACCCAGAAGCTCCACAGAAGGGGAGGGATGAAGGGGCTGTAGCCAAACACACCTGGTGGGCACCAGAACAGGGAAGACTACCCTACCATTTTCAACGTCCCCACTGCTAGCGGGTGAGTTATTACTATCCTTTTCATTGATAATAATAATACAACAGATCTCTGTGGGCTACAGAAAGGAGGGCTGTGTGTCGAGGCTTTTTGGGAGGGGAGGGGAGAGGGGAGTTTGGACCCCAGGTGGAGCAGCCCTCGTGTCCAGACCCCAACCCTTTTACACCTTTCCCAGGAGTGGGGCTCAGTGGGTAGGTATGTCCCATACCTGTCTCGAAAATGGTGGGCACCTTTTTGCTGCACCAACATTAGCCTCTGCTGGTGACTGACCGCTCGGCCAGCCCAACAGCAACGCTGGGGGCCGCTTGGCTTTGCAGCCCTTGGCGCTGAGGCCACCCGAAAGGCTCACCATCCATCTCACCCAAATGACCAAGGAAATAAGGGTGCCCGAGACACTGGTGCTCCTGCCTTTAAAAAGCAGCTCAGACCTCACCCCCATCAGGATGGGAAGACACCGAGGCCAAAAACCCTTTAAAAAAAAAAATACATTTCCTACCCACCCAGTTTTCTCCCTGCGCACTGAGGAAGTGCAAGTTACATACCTGTATAAATAAAAATTACATGTCCTCCCAGGGGCAAAACACATTCCTCTGACCATCAAAATACTCTTGGCTGGGTGACTTAAGCAATCGATTCAAAACCTTCCAAGCAGAAATTCCTGGGGCGGGGGCGGGGGGGGAGAGGGCCTGGGGCAACTGCCTTAAGAGTTCACACACACAAACACACAACCCCAACAAACAGCCTTTTTGTAACGACTTAGTCTCTGCTGCATCATCACCAGGGAAATCTGTTTACATCACCTCCCGGCTTTGTAATTTTTTTTTTTAAAACAAAAATGGACACAGGCCAATGCTTATAATGTGCACACTTATTTAAATAGAAAATTATGTGTCTAGTACGCTTTAAAAGGAAAATATTAATATATTTAAGAATATATATATACGTGTATGTGTGTATGTATGTATATATGTGTTTTATATATATATATATATATATATATATATATATATATATATATATATATATATATTCTCTCTAAAGGAAGCATGTGGGTCTTACTTGCCAAGTCATGGTGTTGACACTGTTGTCAAAAGTGGCAATACTGTTGAAGCAAATATTTAAACACGTCAAGAAATAAAGGACAAAAAGCAATCTATAATCAAATAAATGTCTGATATTTCCTTTCTTCCCTTTAGGAGTACATGTAAGGTCACTTTTAGCCTTGGAATGGATGTGTGATCTACCTGCGATGAGCTTGCTAGCTAATACACAATGTTGGGAATCCTCTGCTAAAGAATCTACTCTGAGAAAAGCCACAGAAGATCAAGAGGAGTGTTACCCTCAGGATGTATTCTTTTTTTTTTTTTTAATGGCAATTTTTGTGTGACTCAGGAAGAGCGAGCCTCAAATTCGTTTTCCCAGTGGGCGGATGAGCACCAGTGGGCTTTTGAGCAAAGGGGCGGGCGGGGAAGAGGGGAGGGTGAAAACAAGGTTGCCATTTAGATCATACGGTTGCGTTTATGGGTTGGGGAGTCCGTAATGCCATCACCACACTGGGCTGAGGTACGCTTCCTAGTTCCACCATTGTCCAAGTGGAGCGCCATTTCTTCAGATATGAAAGTGTTCAAGTCAACATCATGGAGTCCGTTTCTCCTTCGGCTCCCGTTGGAGCCGCTGCTCACATGAGTGGGGGAGCCCGGGGTGCTCGAGCGAACGCTGATGCTGGCCATCGCACCGCTGAGACCTGCAAGGGGGAAAGGAAAGAAGGAAGGCATTAAGACGGTCTGGGAGCCAGGGTCACCCGCGAAGCCAGACGGGCGTGCCGAGGGGGTGAGAGGCTGGAACAACCTGCCTCCAGAAGCAGTGAATGCTCCAACACTGGAAGTTTTTTAAGAAGAGACTGGACAGCCATTTGTCCGAAATGGTATAGCAGTGGTGGCGAACCTATGGCACGGGTGCTAGAGGCGGCACTCAGAGCCCTCTCTGTGGGCACACGCGCCGTCGCCCCAGTCCTAGGCCTTCAGCTGGGTTTTATAAAACCTTTTCGCTTTAGGCCTCCACCGCCGTGTGCAAAAATAAAAAAGGTTCAATCAATCAGTCAATTTCAACTACTCCTAGGAAAAAAAAAGATCTCGCAAAGTTGGAATTGATTGATTGAACTTTTTAGTCCCATCCAGTCTGTGGTTACCACTGCAGCCACGCCCACCCAATGGGCCACACCCACCCAATGGGCCACACCCACCCAGCACCCGATGATGCATCAGTGGGTTTTGGGTTGCAGTTTGGGCACTCGGTCTCTAAAAGGTTCGCCATCACTGTGGTATAGGGTTTCCTGCCTGAGGAGGGGGCTGGACTAGATGACCTCCAAGGTCCCTTCCAACTTTATTATCATCATCATCATCATTAAAAAAGGAAAGACGCCCATTTTCCCTCCACATCTACATTAATGTGAATCCACAGGCTGACCTGGGCTATGTAAGCGGTGACTCTAGGATCTACAGTTTGGGATGCTTATAAAAGTCGCAGCTCTTCCTACTGGAGGCAACTTGAACACATAGGGCAGGCCTGGACCCCTCACGGGAGAACACCGGGCTTACTCCGAGCTCTTGGGTGCCGAGTGGATCTGAAAACGGTCAACTACAGGGATCCTCATTAGAATTTGGGATCATGGCTGCAGAGGGTTATGGAAGTGCCCCACAGATTCCCCGGGGATCTGTTCAGAAAGGCCCCCCTCCTTTTGCCATCAAGCCAACCTTCTCTAGCAGAAAGATACAGATAGTCCTCGGCTTACGACCACAATGGAATACAAATGCTCTTGTCGCTTAGCGACAGCTGTTCAGTGAACTTTTACCCCATTTTACAACCTTTCTTGCCACGGCTGTTAAGTGGATCACTGCAGTTGTTAAGTTAGTGACACGGTTGTTAAGTGAATCTGGCTTCCCCGTGGACTGTGCTTGTTAGAAGGTCACAAAAGGGGATCACGTGACCCCGGGACCCCGCGACCGTCATAAATACGAGTCAGCAGCCAGGCATCTGAATTTTGTTCGCATGAACCATGGGGATGCTGCAACGGTCGTTAAGTGTGAAAAACAGCCATAAGTCACTTTGTTCAGTGCCGTTGTAACTTTGAATGGTCGCTAAATGAACGTTGGTAAGTCGAGGACCGCCTGTATTGCAAACTATGACCACAAAAGGGTTAAATCATGGAAGTCATCCTTGTCAATGCCTTTTTTTCCCCCCCCCCTAGCTTTCCCGTTCAGTAAGCCAGTTCTAGGAAAACTGGGGAACAAAGGCAGTTCTCCTCTACCTCTTGGCTATGTAGGATATTGAGAATTTAAGTATATTTCACTAGTTCTTCAACTAGGGCAGGGGTAGGCAACCTTGGCTCTTTTATGACTCGCGGACTTCAATTCCCAGAATTCTGAACTAACATGGCTCAGCTTGGAAACCTCTCTTTCCCCTCAGCATGGCTGGTTCAGGAATTCTGGGAATTGAAGTCCATGAGTCATAAAGCGGCCTAGGCCTAGGCGGGAGGTAGGCAACCTTGGCTCTTTTATGACTCGCGGACTTCAACTCCCAGAATTTCTGAGTCAACATGGCTCAGCTTGGAAACCTTTCCCTTTCCCCTCAGCATGGCTGGCTCAGGAATTCTGGGAGTTGAAGTCCACAAGTCTTACAGTCGCCAAGACTGGAGACCCCTATCCCAAAGAATTTAAATATTGGTCTGACATTATGATTTGGATGGTTTTGGCCTAGTGCAGGGGTAGACAACCTTGGCTCTTTTATGACTCGTGGACTTCAACTCCCAGAATTCCTCAGCCAGCATGGCTCAGCTTGGAAACCTCTCCCTTTCCCCTCAGCATGGCTGGCTCAGGAATTCTGGGAGTTGAAGTCCACGAGTCATAAAAGAGTCAAGGTTGCCTACCCCTGAGCTAGGGCATTTGCTCAAACATATATGTCTAAACGCACATGTGGAAAAGGGGGTTCGGGTTTTGTCACCCTTCTTAGCAAGCTTTGTCATCTAGTTAACTGGACATGGTTATACAATCTGTGATACCTAAAAACAGAATTTATCCAGACTTAGGTTTTCTCTCCACATCCATATCAGCTGTGTTCTGCTTACCCAGAGGCTAAAAGATTGGCTTTGCTCTGGAAAGACCAGAGCTAGCAAAATGCCAAATAGAACTAAACCCGGAAACATTTCTCCTGGGAATACTTAAAAAAGAAATTTGATAGGAAAATAAGATATTTGATTCTACACATATTAACTGCGGCAAGAATTGCGTTCGCGCAATACTGGAAGGAACGCGATATACCACCAGAGGGATTGATCATTCAGAAGATATATGAATGTGCCGAAACGGATAAACTCACTTTAGAACTAAAAGAAAAAGACGGTTCGGAATGTTATGCGGTTTGGGAAAAATGGTATACATGGATAGATAATAGAAACAAACATTGGAAACATACATGAGGTTATTGTGAGTTAGATATTGAATGTATATAGTGTATACATGGTGTAGAATGTTGATCCGATGTATATAAAAATGACACAGTCTGCTGAATATGTATTAGAGCTGTATAAAGGAAAATTATAATAAAATTACTTACTCTGGAAATACCCTTCCCCCAGCCTCCCCCACCCCATCCCAAGGCTTAGCAAAGGTGCATGAATAAAACCAGATGCTTCAAGATATCCCCCCATCTCCAACTAAGCTCAACCTCTCCAAGAAATTTGCCAGATGGCCAGCAGAAGCCCTTCCAAAGTCACTTGCTAGTCCCAAAAGTGCTTTTTTCCAAAAGGCAACTGGACTTTTCTTTAATGTTTCACTTCTCATCCAAGAAGCTTCTTCAGTTCTTGGAATGAGAAGCAAAAAGTCCAGTTGCCTTTTGGGGGGAGGGAGGAAGCACCTTTGGGACAACCATGACCTGGATGATTGAGAATCTCCACAGACATTTAGAACACTTACAAGGGCAAACAAAACTACTAGAACCCTTGCAGATTGCTTTCAAGAAGTCCCAATTCTGGAATGGGAAGCTCTTGGCACACTCAGCTTTTCTATACCGTTTGGGAACCAAGTAAGAGGGTCACATAACTAGAGCAGAATTCCAGTGAATAGCCCAAATCTGCAACGACGGAGTCAGGAAAACTAATAGCCCAAATCTGCAACGACGGAGTCAGGAAAACTAATCTGCAACGACAGAGTCAGGAAAACTAAAACTGAGAAATACAAGAAATAACCAAAAAAAGAAAGTTTCTTTCAACATGTAAGGAACAAGAAAAAGTCAAAGATATGATGTGTCCACTAATGGGAAACGATGGCAAGGTGGAGACAGGCAGCAGGGGGACTTCTTAATTTCTTCTTTGCATCTGTCTTCACGCAAACAGAAAATTAGCCCAACCTACCAAAAGCAGCACAGTGGGAGACAGAACAGGAATGCAGGTCAAAATAGGCAAGAAATAGGTTAACAAAACACCTATCCGCTCTAGATGAGTTCAAATACCAGAACCACAAGGATTACATCTGAAGGAGCTAGCAGACGTGATGTCGGAACAGAATCTTTCAAAGCTCCTGGAACACAGAACTGCCAGAGGACTGAAAAAGAACCGATATGGTTCCAATCTATAAAAGAAGGGAAAAAAGTGGATTCAAGAAATACAGACCAATCAGCTTCACATCAATACCTGGGAATATCCCGGAAAAGACTATCAAGCCATGGATTTGTGAGAGCATCTAGAAATGAACAAAGCAATTAAAAGAAGCTAGCATGTGTTTGTTAAAAACAGATCATCGCCAGACAACCCTTAGTGCCTTCTTTGATAAAGTGACTAAATTAGTGGATTAGGATAATGCCCTGGTCATAGAATACTTGGACTTCAGTAAGGAATTTGAAAGTAGACCACACTCTGTTTCTTGGCATGATAGAACTATGTGGGATATACAGTGGCACCACCAGATGGATTCACAACTGACTGACCAACCGCATTCAGTCCTTAATGGAACTGCGTCTGTATCAGGGCTTTTCAACCTTTTCACCCATTATACCACTTTTAGGATATGGCAATATCCGAGTACCACCAGTTGCCTAGCAAGGTGTCAAAAACTTGATGACCCCCCCCAAAAAAAGGAAAAAAGTGATAAAATACAGGTAGTCCTCGACTTACAACATTTCACTTAGTGACTGTTTGAAGTTACAATGGCACTCAAAAAAAGTGCCTCTCAAGCCACAGCTGAGCAAGACGCCTGCCCACCCAGCGGTGCTCTTCCTCCTGTCCGAGGCTTTCATTGTTGTGAGCATTTCTGTTGAGGATTGGCAGCAGGGATGGGGTGGGGGAGTGTTTGGTTTTTATTCCCATCTGCTGGGTGGTTGCAGCAGGTTTTGGCACTTCACATGACCCTGGGACACCGTGACCATCATAAATATGAATCAGTTGCCAAGCATCTGAATGTAAATCACAAGACCCTGGAGATGCTGCAACATTCCAGCTGATTGGCGCTTCTTCTGGGCTCAGCAGAAGTGCCAGGATCAGTGCTGCTTTCCAGCTGATTGGTGCTTCTTCAGGGCTCAGCAGAAGCACCAGGATCAGCGCCAAGCTCCAGCTGGAGCCTGGCACTGATCCTGGCACTTCCACTGAGCCCTGACAGTCCCGAAGCGCCGATAAGCTGGAAAGCGGTACTGATCCTGGCGCTTCTGCTGAGCCCTGACAGCCCTGCAGCTCCAGCCATCTCTCACGCAGGCTTG